CTCATCCCGCCCCCTTGACCTGTCCGTCCTCCCTGGACTGACCTATCCCCTTCCTAACTCCCTACCTACACTCACCTTTACTGGCTCCATCCCCGCCTCTTCGACCTGTTTGTTTCCTCTCCACCTATCCTCTCCTCTATCCCTCTTCTATCCGCCTCCCACTCTCTCCCTATTTATTTCGGAAACCCCTTCCCCTCCCCCTTTTCTGATGAAGGGTCTAGGCCCGAAACGTCAGCCTCTCTGCTCCTCTGATGCTGCTTGGCCTGCTGTGTTCATCCAGCCCTGCACCTTGTTGTCAAAGACACACTAGTGTTAGTCAAAATTTTGTTATTCACTTATGTGGAAAACATATTTTCTCTCATCCTTTTTTGCTTAATTTAGAATGAATATCTAATATACTTAAATGAAAAGTATTAATAGATGTAGCAATGGGACTGAGGTGACTCAGTTTTAAATTTACAGGAGTAAATTACACTTCTTGGATCTTTCAGAAACTGTTTAAAAGTCCTCCATTTCAAAACAAACAGTATTTTTGACTTTCTCATAGCAATACATTGGGTCCTTTGTGATCACACTTCTAATTTGACTAGCATAGACGTGGCAAGACAATTATAAAAAGGTTTGTGCCTTGAAATTACTGACACTATGTAATGTGAAAGTTCCTGTAAAATTATTTTTACTCAACTTCTGATTTTTCAGCTTCTTATTCAATGTCTAGATGCTGGTAAACAATTTTAAACAGCACCTTCTCAGATCTGCCTTATGTCCTGAAGGTAAATTCTACAAAATTTATTTGCGACTTTTATGTCTCATGAAAGAACCAGATAAAGGAACTGAAAGAAAGTCACAGTTGGAATAAACATCCAAAATGTCATATTCAGTTAAAAGATAAGACAAATAAATAATGAATGGGGTCATGAAAATCTTATTTTTCATAATTTTGATTAACATGAGATGGGAGGAGCAGTTGAGGACTCTAGGTCTGTACTTGATGGCGTTTACAAGGATGAGGGAGGATCTCATTGATACTTACAGGATACCGAGAGTGAAAATAGAGAAGATGTTTCCACTCGCAGAAGAGGTTAGGCCTCGAGGGCAAAGCCTCAGAATGAAGGGATGACCCTTTAGGACTGAAGTGAGGAGTAATTTCTTCAGCCAGAGGGTGGTCAATTTGAGGAACTCATTGCTGCTGAAGGCTATGGAGGCCAGGTCATTGAGTGTATTTAAGATAGAGATAGATATGTTCTTGATTAGTAAGTGGATCAAGGGTTATGGGGAGAAGGCAGGAGAATGGGGTTGAGAAACATATCAGCTATGACCAAATGGTGGAGCAGACTGATTGGGCCGGATGGCCTAATACTGTTCCTATGTCTTATAGTCTTATATTGATCAGTAATGAAACACATACTCTGTAGTGTTGTTGGAGAATCCATGAGGTGAGATGTCAAATATACATGTTTTATTCAAAACCTCCATGTTCAACCTCCACTTTCTGCAAATGCCATAGCCATGAATTCAGTCAATTAGGTAGCATCATGCTCCATGAATATTGATAATCTCATTCTATACCTTCCCTTATAAACAATCATTACTGTTCATTCCCAATAGACTGTTAATCTCCCCCTCCCCCTCTCAACCCACATTTACATGATATTGTAAGTGGTTCTCTCCTTTTTTTGGTGTTAGCCCTCTCCTCTTTGAACTTGTTATCATCACCTCCCCGCTTAAAAAAATGCAAACTTATTATCTTTGCAAACTACCTTCCCATCTGTAATCTGCTTTTCCTTTCGAAAGTTCGTATATGTGTTGCCATCATGCAAATTCTTTTTTTTAATCTTTGCCAGAACTCCACATTTGGATCCTTTAATCAGGTTTCCACCCATAATGCAGCATTGAATCTGCTCATATCAGAATCACAAATGACACTCTAAGTGACTGTGAATGAATTAAATCTTCCCTCCTTAAACTTCATTAAAGTTTCATCAGAGTTTGAAATAGTTGGTCACACTGCCCTTCACTAATGCCTCTGTCCTGCCATCCAGCTGGATGGGAGAGCCCTCCATTTCTGTTCGTTTGTATGAAATGACAGCTGGAGAATCACTTGCAATGAAATGGCTTCTCTTTCTGAATTTGCATTGTTATCTTTGGTGTACCCAAGGGTCTATCCTTGACTCTATCCTTTTTCTCATTTCCATGCTGCCCTATGATAACATCATCCAAAAGTAAGCTGATGACACCCAGCTCTACCGCACCAGCACCTCTCAATTCCTCCTCAGCCTGAAGACCTCCTCTTCCTGATGATGTAGCACTGCCTGTCAGTGACCTTGGTGATAGCAAGGTTGCTGAGGGTCAGCTCTCTGATTGGCACAGCAGCTTTTAGGGATGGCCAGCTAGCCTTGATTTAATGGTGGCTTCTTAATTGGCTATCATTGGTACTTTGCCACTCAATGTGCTGCTATCAGTTTGGCTCTGATCTTTGATCCAGTTGATAGGACTTCATCTCCAATGAGAAATTGCGGCCCAAGAGAATCAGAAAGAGAGAGAGAGTTTGAAAACAGACTTGCAGCCAGCATAAAGATGTCAGAAATGACAGCAAAAAGGATATTTAAGGACCAAACAGTGTATTTATGCAGAGGCAGAGAACAAAGCTGAGGAATTATGTGATTAGTTTAGGAAGGAGGAAAATGCAACCAAACACACTGTGAAAGAGGATGTAGTTGAGATATTGAAGGATCTAAAACTGATAAAGATGAGGTATTGAAAGGTTGGCTTTACTTAAAATTGTTAAGTCACCAGGATCAGATGAGATACAGCTGAGCATTCTGATTGATGTAAAGGGTAGAAGTTGTGGAATTACTGGCCTGAATCTTCTAATCCTTCTTCGATATGGATGATGAAATTTAAGGTCGAGGTGTGAAGTGATTTGGTCAGGTCAGTGAGAGAAGCAATATAAAATGAAGGATGCACTAAAAACAATCGAGCGGTTTGTGTATATACTTATACAAATTGTTAAGGTTGGCAGGGCAGATTGAGAAAGTGGAATATGGGATCCTGGACTTTATAAACAGAAGTATACAGTACGAAAGCAACAAGGTTATGGTGAGCCATTATAAACCACTGGCTCAGCCTTAACTGGAGTATCGTATGCATTCTGGATACCATCCTTCAGAAAGGATGAGTAGACTTAGGAGAGGGCGCACAGAATATTTACCGAAGTGGTTCCTGGAATGAGGGACTTTGATTCAGTGGGGATATTTGGAGACATTGGGCTGTTCTTCTCAGAGAAGAGCATTTTGAGAGATTTGATTGAGATATTCAATGCCATGAGGGTTCTGAACACTGTGGACAGAGAAGAAATGTGGTAAATCAGTGGACACAATTTATGAAAAACTGAAGAGAATGTTTTTACTTACTGAGCGCTTAGGTTCAGGAATACATTGCCCAAAAGTACGGTGGAGGTGGATTCCATTGTGGCTTCCAAAAGGAAATTAGATAATTATCTGAAGTGAATAAAGGTTAAGGGCAGTGGGGGAGGACAACTCACTGAGTTGCTCTTGCAGAGAGCAAGTATAGCCACAAAGGACTGAATGGCTTCTTGATGGGCTGGAACTGCTCTGTAATCCTGTGATAATGGAACTTCGTTTTTTTTCTGTCTAGTGTAAATGTGCAAACTTTGTACTTGTACTAGCCCACCCCAATCTTAAACCTTGTATGATCCAAAAGGATTTTGTTTAACTATCTCAGTCAGTTTGCTGTTGGCTGTTGAGAATTAAAATTCCCCCACATTAATTTGCAGTTGTCGCGATCATAGCTATTCTGTCATAGCAACTTGCTGCATTTAATTCACCCAACAATTGATTCACATCATAATTTTGCCAGAAGTTTTAATTCACAAAAATTTAAACAGATCAAATATTTGTCATTGAACTATAATCAGGCTGAATTTAATAAATTTGAGAGTAGAACTGTAAATTCCCATTTTGACGTAGTGCTATACATATCTGCCATTGTACTTTCCTCCTCTGATTTCTATTTCCTTTAACACTTAAAAAAAGTTATTGTTAATGATTCTGCTGTCCTGAGGTTTTGTTCTTACCTCCTTCAAATCTTAAGTCACTATCCTTCTCCTCAATAAACAACCCTTGGCTCCACCATCATTGCAAACTTTCTTTTCCTCTTGAATGTATGTTACCTTCCAAATCCACATCCATTATTCCCAAGACTCTATTTTAAATCCCTGTAGTCAGGTTTCCATCCATGCCACACTTCGGAGCTACCTTTATCAAAGCCATGAATAACATATTATATGACTGTGTCAAAGGTAAACTCTCTCCTTTTGTCCTTATTGACCTGCCTTGGTATGCTTGATTACGTTATCTTTCTCAAATGCCTCACCACTGTCATTTCCGTGATTGGAACAGAACGCACCTCATTCCATTTCCATCTTCCAATCATAGCCAGGATGCAACAAAAACAATGTCGCTGGAAGAAATGACGAAAGGTCACCAGACCCGAAACGTTAACTCTGTTTTTTCCTTCACAGATGCTGCCAGACCTGCTGAGCTTTTCCAGCAACTTTGTTTTTGTTCCTGATTTACAGCATCCGCAGTTCTTTCGGTTTTTAGCCATGTCAAATGGTTTATCTTGAACCATTTGATACGTTGTAAATAATCCCTCGACTTTCAAGATCCTCAATGACTTCCCCATTCCCTATGACTTTTATTTTCTTCAGCTCCACAACACTCCAAGACACTTGTCCTCCTCAAATTCTGACCTTTTGGTCATCCCTCATTTGTATCATTGCCCCATTGATTGTCCTTCTTTTCATCTTGTATACTGTATTTGTTCCTCACATCTGGTCCGTTATAATAGGGAGACTAAATGCATATTGGGCGACCTGAAGCTTTCAGTTACCTGCCATTTTAATTGCCTACCTTGTGCCATGTTGACCTCTCTGCCCCTGGCCTCCTGCAGTGTTCCATTGAAGCTCACATTAACTCATGAAACATCACCTCCTCTTTTGATGATGTTTCTACAACCTTCCAGATTCAACAACTGAATATCACAATCGCTACTCCTGTTTTGTATGCCTCTTTACAGGCTTCAATTTTGGCTTTGTTTTCTTTTTTGATTTCGTTTCAGACAACAGAGAGTGTGTCTTTGAATGAAGGACCCTCCTTACTAGGCCACAGTGAACCCGAAAGAGTCTACTTGTTGGTGATTCCTCATGGATGTTCCAATCCATCACTGACTTCAAGTGGCACAGGGTGAGGATCTTGCGTGAGCATTACCTGATCACCTGGAGGTTTCCATTGGAATCCATTTGGGGAGGCCATTTACAACCATTCTGCTCTGGACTTAATCAGGAGGAGGAGACTAGATGGTGGACTCCCACCTCACACCCTCCCGACTTAGATCCTGTATCTGGGAGGGAAGCATTAAATTCTGTTCAATGTCTCTTTATTCACTCTCTCGAAGCCTTCGTGGTTTTGAGCACCTCCTTCAAGTTCTGTGTTTTAGGGTGATTAACACCAACTTCTCCAGTCTTTCCACATAAATACCGTCTCTCATCTCCAGTGCCATTCTAGAGAAGCACATTGGCATCCTCTTGCAGGCCTGGGCCTGCTTCCTAAAGTGTGGTGGTCACAATTAGAAACAATGCTCCAGCTAAGGCTTAGCATGTGCCTTGCAAAGGTTTAAACAGTTTCCTGGATCTAGTGCTCTATTCCTTTAATAATTTCAAAGACTCCAAATACATTTTCTTAACAACCTTTTTCTGATGAAGGGTCTAGGCCCGAAACGTCAGCCTCTCTGCTCCTATGATGCTGCTTGGCCTGCTGTGTTCATCCAGCCCTGCACTTTGTTGTCTCTCTCTTCTTAACAACCTTCTCAACTTGGTTTCCCACCTTTAAAGATTTGCATGCGCCAGCACATCTCTCTCCTCCTGTGCCATTTATAAAGAAGTTATTTTAAAAATTGTTTTATCACATCATATCTTTCTCGTATCCTCCACAGTTGCAAAATTGTCTGACAATGTTGTTGCCCCGGATCTAGAAGACCTTTGGTTTATCGGGTTTCCAGTATTAAGTGAGCAGAAATTTCCTCCAAATAAATGTTGTGCACCTGTGGCTCACCATATTGATTTACATTAGGCTTGATAATAAATTTAAGATGGCGTTCAGGCCCTTTCCTTCTGATAATCTGTTTCTGTGAACTATTAGGGCTAGACTCAGTCACAGGGTCTCCAACCAATTTAAACCATAATGGATTTAAAAATGCTACGTAGATTTTCTTTGATAATTCAATATAATTCAGATTAAGAGTAACATTGAAGGTTCATAGAATCAAATAAATGTTACCTTAAATGTGAAATGCTGATGTAACTTTAACTATAAACTTCAACAAATTCCAAACCTTTCTGATTGGCATCTTACCATTCAGCATTTGTCCTATTTTGTAAATATTTTGGACATTCGGTCCTTTAGTTTATGAAACTACTAACCAGATGCTCATAGTGATTTTTTAAATTTTGTGGCCTGAACATAGTCCTGTGTGTTTTGTGCATTCCAATGGCATAGTTCATGTAAACATCTATGTATAACACACAGATCTCACAGGACTTATCTTGATTTAACTCAGTGATTCTGGTGCCCATGTGAATGAATACTATATTGTTCACCAATTTCGATTGACACCATTCTTTGTCTAACTTGCTTTACAAATGTGAACAATAAAAGGCTGGATTTTTCTTCACAGCCTCAGTTAAAATCAGGTGGCCCTCAGTTTGAGTACCAAAGCAGAAAACAAAAAAATTCTCTTGGCAGTGATCGTCTAAGAATGGCAATGGCTCAACATTACAGGCAGAATAACATAACAACAACTTATATTTGCATAGCATCCTTAATGGAATAAGAAGTCCCAAAGCACTTCAACAGAACAATTATAAAACAAATTTGACACTGAACCGCATAAGGAGAAAGCAGTAAAGCTTTTGCGCCATTGAATTGAAAACATCAATTAAGCCAGTCATTGCGAGATAGATCCAATTACATTTAATGGCAGTGTAATTCCAGAATTTCATTTGGGATTAAAAGCGATGCTCAGACCAGGTTTTAATCTAATGTTGGCTGAGGCAAGTACAATGAAAGGGAATTTTAATTATGATGCAGAAAACTGAAAATATGAACCACACTGAGGGATTTCTTAGTGATGTAAGTGAATGGAATAATGGCAAACGAAAATTAATTCACAAAGGAAGAAATAATAGACATCAACCTACATACATGATGAAGATGAAGCTGAAACAATAAGATAAAAATAGAGTATAATTTCACTACTGGGTATATTTTACCACCAGCTAGTTGGAAAATGTAGAGAAACAAATCTGTGAGAATTTATAAGGTGGTGTAAAAACAAGAGAGTTGTGATAATGGAGAAATCTATTACAGTAGCATACACTGGGATAGTGATAGGGCAAAGGATGGGAGGGAGGTGTGAGGTGTGGTGAGGTGTGTGAAGAAGAGTGTTCAGGAGAATTTTATGCATCAGTATGAGTCCAGCGCAATGAAGGAGACATTGCTGGATCTGGTTCTGGGAGTAAGGTAGATCAAAGGGATCAAGTGTCAGTAGGGAACAACAACAATCAGAGGGTCAGAAGGTTTAGCCTAGCTATGGAAAATAATAAGGAGCTTTCAAGAATGGGAATACCTGATTCGAGGAGGGTCAATTTCAGTGAGGTTAGAAAAGATTGTGTTTTGGACAAATTGGAGCCAAAGGTTGGCAGGCAAAACTGTAACAGACTTGTGGGCTGCCTTTAAAGAGGAGATGATTCAGGTGCAATTCCCATGAGTAGAAAAGATGAACAGCGAGTAAATCAAGAACTCCAACTGTCTTTTCCTCTTTAAATTCCTTGAACATGTTGTCACCTTCCAAATCCATTACCATCTTTCTTGGATCAGAAAGGGAATCTATGCAAGGTGATAGAAGACATGTCTGAAATGCTAAATAAGTACTTCACATCTACTTTACTGAGGAAGATGCTGCTAAAATCATAGCGAGAGTGGAGATTGTTGAGAAACTGGATGGACTAAAAATTGATAAAATGCGGAATTAGAAAGGCTGGCTATAATTGTAATTAAAGTTGATAAATCAGAGCAACTGAATAGGGAACATCTGGAAATAGAAATGAACATTTTGGAGGCTCTGGTCTTGGTCTTCCAATCATCCTTAGATGCAAGGATAGTCTGGAAAATAACAAATCTTACAATCTTGTTCAATAAAGAAGGGAAGGTTAACCCAGAAACTACAGGGCAGTCTGTTTAAACTAGGTGGTCATAAAGTTTTTAGAAATGATAGTTAAGGACAAAATAAATGGTCACATGAACAAGTATAGATTAGTTGAGAAAAGTCAGCATGGATTTTTGAATCATTAACTAACTTGATTGAGATTTGATAAGGGTGATATTGTTGATGGGTGTACAGGGATTTCCAGAATATTTGAACAATCATGTACTAAAATTGACAGCAAATGGAACCCATGTTATAAAAATGGCAGCATGGTTTAAACATTGGCTAGGTGACAGGAAACAGAGAGTAGTTAAGGACTGGAGAAAGATATATGGTATGGTTTCTGTGGAGTCAGTACTGGAACAATTAACTTTCTTGACATATAAGACACTTCCCAGTTTCAACTGAAGTGTTCTGTCCAATTCTGAGCTTTGCACTTTAGGCAGGATATGACAGCTCCAGAAAATGTGCAAAAAATATTATTGAGAATGGTCTCAGGGATGTATGACAGAAGCCTATAGAATCCATTGACCACATTATGAGCAAATGCAGACACTTCTCGTAGGGAAAACTAGCAAATAGATTGACTGAGTCGGTGGTTGCATCCACCCCTGTGGAAACACTGCAGAAAGATTTCCTGGGCAAACCAAAAACTTGTACCATTGAAGAGCTACTGAGGAATAGATGCAAGCACAAAGCAATCATTACAGCTTGCAGGCTGTAAACACAAACTTGACGATTAACTCAATCACTAGAATATCCGAGCAAAATATTTGGAAGGTGTGGCCTTCTCTGTGCATCCAAAAATGCTCAGCTTCCAAAGAATTTTGCAAGGCATGTGGTGGAAAAGTCCACTGATAGAGCTAATTCACTGGGGTCAAAGACTGATGCAGCCGCAAAGATCTGTGCACTGACCCAAACAGAC